GTGATACATAGCCACTTTCCTCCCTCTGCCTCCTCCCCCTCCGCCTTTCCTCGTCTCCGCCTATCCCTGATTGGCTGCCTGTCTGTCTGCCTGCCTGTCTGTTTGTCTGTCTGTACGTCCGTCTGTCTATTTGTATGTCTGTCCGACTGTCTGTCTGTCTGGTCTGATCAGTTTAGTATATTTTTCCGTTTTTTCTTTTTAATGTCGACCATTTCTCGATTTATGCGTGCCATCCTTGCACAGGGGCCATGCCAATCTTCTATGTGTCTTTCCAATTTTAATGGATGTCCTGAAAGTCTGCTGACTGTGCACTTCAAGTCTGCTGACTGTGCACTTCATGAGCCAGGCCTAGAACATGAGGAAGACACTGAACATGAACCCGAGCCTGACCCTGTCCCTAGAATAAGCATGACCCTCACCTTGAACTCAAGCCTGACCCTGACTTTGCACCCGAGCCCAACCCTGACCTTGAACCCAACTCGCTTGCCTGGCTGCCTGCCTCCCTCTCTGTCTGTTTTCCTGTCAGTCGGTCAGGCTGCCAGTCTGTCTGCCTGTCTCGTCTGATCAGTTGAATATATGATCCTTGAAGAAAACTGAAATCATTTCACCCAAGTTGCGTGACAAATGGAGTTGTCAGGGTTCGATCCCTAGACGTGTCTCCTTTCCCATGTACAAAATCGTTCACCCTGTGTGTGTGAACCTGCGACCTATCCCTGAAAGTCGTATGTTTTGACTGTTGTATATAGCCTGGTCACGTGGACTTGACCCGTAGACTTAGGTTTTAGTAGCGTGGGGTCAGTCTAGGCTGTAGCTGCTATAGTTCCGAAAGTTCAAGTACTACCTAGCCTAGGACCTTCTAGATGTGTCTGAACTGGCTCTTCGTAGGATCTAGGAGTCGGTCTGTAGCTGAGTCAGCAGAGGGCAGTCGTAGCCTAGTCAGCGAAGGGAAGTCCCAGTCCTATACTAGTCTAGTTAGCATAGGAGGGAGACAACAGCCATAGCTGCCACATAGGATAGTGTAGGGAGTGTGTAAAGCGTGTGTGTGAGGGACATTTAGGGTGATCCTAGCTAGTGTTGGAGTGTGTGCGTGTGCATGTGAACAAGCTGCTGGTGGATACAGTTGATCGGGAGGGAATCTTTGTCAGGGGCTGGGCGCCATAGCCATTCAAGACAAGTTGAATTTGAACTGTGTTCCTGGCCACGTTCTTATCTCTGAGCTTTGTGTGAGCGCACTGCGCCAGGTCGTGTTCGTCATCTGTTTGCATGCATGTTTGGAAGCGAGTTGCGACAACTTGAAGTCTGATTTCAAAACAAAAAAACAAATAAAAAGAGTATGCGGACTGTGCACTTGATGAGCCAGCTGCCTTACCCAGGCCTTGAACCCGAGGAAGACCGTGAACTTGAACCCGAGCCTGGCCCTGTCCTTGGTGCCCGAGCCAGACCATGACCTTGAAGTCAAGCCAGACCCTATCTCTAGCATGAGCATGGCGCTCACCTTGAACTCAAGCATGAACCTGACCAGGCTGGCCTTGCACCCAAGCTTGACCCTGAGAGCTTGCACCCAAGCCTAACACTCGATTTTAACTCAGTATCGGAGCTCGACCCTAATTAGTGCAAGGCAGTGCCGTACCCCCGTTCACCGTTCACGGGGTCTGTGAACGGAGACCGGTCATGGAGTTCACGGAGTTCACAACACAGGAGGTCATGGAGTTCACGGAGAGTGGTTTTTTTTTTTTTTTTTTTNGTGGTTTTTTTTTTTTTTTTTTTTTTTTTTTTTGGCTGGGGGGGTATGTTTTTTTTATTTTTATACGAGGGTGGGGGACATCGAAGGGTAACTCCGTATAATTTTTTCAATTTTTTTTTCACGAATAATTTTTTTTTTAATTAAAAACGAAAAAAAAAAATCAACCAGGCAAAATAAGCATTTTCGTTTGCTATTTTGTAGGTCATTTCAATTTTTTTTTATTTATTTTTTTTAATGTCACCACGCTGTGGGGCTTGAGGCGAACGTACCTGGGGGAGCCCAAAAAAAAAAAACAAAAAAAAACACCACTCTTTAGTGGTTGTCCCGTTCACCGTGAACGGCCGTTCACAAAAAAAAACACCAAATGAACGGGCGGTCACGTTCAAGTGACCGGTGCCGGTCACGTTCACGGGATCGGCACTGGTGCAAGGTCTGCACATACTTGAGTTCAAGGTAAGGGTCATGGTCATGGCCCTCTACGAAGGTCTAGGGCTTAGGGTTGAACCCAAACTTGACCTTGAGAGCTTGCACCCGAGGCTTAGCCTGACACTCGATTTTAACGTGCTATCGGAGCTCAAGCCTAGAGCCTACACCCTAAACCTTAGTAGAGGGCCGACACTCCTGTCTCATTTAAGAGACCGGATACATGCAGTGAGACAAACAAAAAGCTCAAGTCCTGAGCTCGAAACAAAATGGTGTTCGCTGAAAAATATTTTTCTTGGAAACATCTACTGCATGGTCTTTAAGAATTTTAAAATAATTATTAATTTAAGGAAGAAAACCAGACAGATTGTTTCAGCTGTATTGGCTAGTAGAAAATTATTTTTTCAAAAACATTAATTGCATACTTGCAAACTGGACAATTTTTTAAGTCCAATTTTCACGAATACCTTGTTCCTTCTTCAGTCAAAGCTATGATCCCGTCCTTGTTATCTCTCTCCCATTCTCGTTTTTTTGCTTCAGTTCACCTCATGGATGCCGGAAAGATCTGATGATCCTTTCATTCCGCTCGCCCCTGTCAAATTCAATCACACCTCACAAGAACAAGTGTTATTGAATTTGAGGGACCATTAAACCCAGGTGATTTTACCATGCCCCCTTCGATGTCTCATAATATCTGATGGTTCGTGCATGCGAGGTTTGTTACATGCATGCATCGATTGTGCTGTTGCTAAGGTAACCGAGCTAAGATTATGTTGAGATTATGTGAATGCATGCTCACCACTCACTCCATGAATGATGATTATCTTCTCGATTGGATCGAACTTTGGATCGGTTTGCATGATGGATGAAAGGCAATGAGCACGTAGCATTGCAACTATTTACTTTTTTGATTGAATAACGGGTTGAGTGGACTTACGTGGTCAGTTTTGTTTGTGCCATGTGGACTGCCAGTGATTGTCCCGATCAGACTGGGTATCAACTTCCCGTATCCTCATCTCGACCGTTCCCGTATAGCGAGGAAAGGACACTTGTATGTAAGTGGGACGTAGGAGATGTCGTTGCCAAGTTTGGCGGGCGCTATTATTTTCCTTTTGAAACAAGGTGCTCGAGATTCGTAGGTGCTGGTTTTGTCATTATCGATATGCATTTTCCCCCGTACTCTTTATTATTGCCTTTTAACGAACTGATTGTCATCCCATGGACGGCAGTGGTGCCTCATTGGCCCAACACTCTCTGTAGTGATTGTTCGCCACACCGAGCGTTATCGAGAAAAGGGGTTCCTGTACCGGACACCTGGCGAAGACGAATACAAGGAAAGAGCGACCCGGTTGAGGCCATCCGCATTGAATTTCAAACTCTAGAACGAGTGGCGTGGGGATTTGACTCTAAAACGAGATCCCAAGTGCGTACCGCGAACTTTCCGTTCGAAAAGACGACAAGTAGCCCGCATGGAGGTTCAAAGATACTTTTTCGATTAGGCGAACGTTTGAAAGTAGCGAGCACCATTTCTTTCCCGCGCCGCTATGGCCCTTTCTTACTAAAACTGGAATCACACGGGGCTTTTCAGTTCCGTCTGTGGCCCCACAATCAATATTCCCAAAAATCCTTGGCACACCCCGTTTTGCTGTTCTTCCAGGGCCTATTCCGCATAGTTTATCACTCCGACCGGAAGACAGACCAGGGCGTGAGGTTGAACGTCACATACTAGCCTCGCTCTATTAACTCACTGCATGCACAAGAGGAAAAAAATACTTCCATGTTCTAGGAAAAGATTCATTTTCATTTCGTACATTTGGTGAGTAGTGGAGCGAGGCCCGATGACGGCCAGACTCTGTTCCGAATGAGTTAGCTCGGACACATATGCCTTTGATAAGAAGTTAGGAGCACGAAGACTCTCTCTCCCGGATGTACTTGTGCTTGATCACGGTTACATTCCGTCAGTTGATGCTCAGGAAAACCGGAGGAGGAGAACCTGTGCTTGATCATGGTTACATTCCGCCAATTGATGCTCAGGAAAAACGGAGGAGGTGAACCGTACACAGCATCCAGAGGTGGTGAAGGAGGAGCTGAGAGGGTAAGTGATTACTAGTTCAATGAGTGAATGTGTCGTCCATTACAGCCTGATTCAGGGGCATACTCACAATGAGGTGGGGCTTTCCTTGATGAAAAGGAAAGAAAAAAAAAGGATTTTCCCATATGTACCGGAAAATAGGGGCTGGGTGCATTCAGAAACACCTTCATTCATAGTAAATTGAACTGGGGCTGACCACCCCACATAAAGGCTGGGGCTTGGGTGCATCGTCCAATTTCGTTTAGTTGAGAGCCAGGAATGGAAGGGCGGTCGTGTAAATCCCCCTGGACTGGGGGTGGGTGATGTGTGTGTGGTGGGGGGGAGAGAGCAGGGGGGAAGGGTTATACGGGTGGAAAGGGGGGAGGGGGGGGAGGGGGGGAGGGGGGGGTCAGGGAGGCAAGGTAGAGTCGAGGGCGTCGGGGTGGGGTATTATGCTAATGGGAAGAAGTTAAGGTGGGGGTGGGAGGAGGGGTTATTGGGTGACCGGTAGCTAGGTGATATGGGAGGAGAGCAGGTAGGTAGGATGGGGAAGGGGTGAAATAGGACTTTCACCAAGGGGCCTAGGTCAGTTGGTGCATCCATGAACTGTTGAAATACAGAATCTGTTCGAAATTTAAATCCAAATGGAATTCAGATGAATGACATAAACGTGGGGCTGGTCAGTTCGAACTTCGATGATGATATTTCAAGGCTATGATATTTTCTCAAGGATGATATCTCAAGGCCATCGCCCTTTTTAGGGTTTAGGGTTTGCATTGATTCAACTCAAAAACAAGGAGGCCGGGAATTCCTCCACAAAGCAACCGGGAAGTATCTGGGGCCACTACCCAGCTTAGGCTCACTGCTGAAAACTGGGTCCAGTGTCTCCTGTCAATGCAAATTCAAAATAGGACTTTCCTGGATGAGAAAACAGAGGGGAAAAAAAAAAACATTTTATTATACAAGCCAGGAAATGGGCCTGGCGTCCTTTTACAATTGTATCGTAGCCCCGCCAGAGATTGAGGCATCACCGGCTGAGAAAGAGGACATTTTCTGATTTACGTGACTGGGGCTCCGGTCCATCACGTACCTGATCGCAAATACGTCCACAGAGAGTCAAGGAAGTCCTAGTGTGAGCACGCCATCAGTCCAGGAACTGGTCCACGTAGCAGCGAGTATGGCCTCCACCCAATTCACACAGAGGGCGAACTCACTTATATGTACCTGACGACAAGGGCCGGACAAGGATGTATGGGACCCCAATTACGTCCATAAATAGGTAACAAAAGGTCCTATTGTGAGTCTACCCACAGATAGACTATGGACCTCTCACCATTACAGACCACCCTAAGGGGTGGACCCCACTGGCCTGCGGCTGGAAAAGCAATATGGCCACAAAAAACAGCCGACTGAGACTGGAAAGCATTTGCCAGATCTCCTCGGGACCCCACAGCCCCCACGAAAACGGACACTGGAAACGGCACCACCTCCCCCGAAAGGAAAACCCGAAGGCGTCCCTCCCGAATAGGTAAGTTCGGTAAGGACTGTCCATCACAAGACGGCCCCTGAACCATCGATTGGACCGCACTCTCATCTCCTCTAATGCCATTGGAGAACATGCCCCCCCCCCTAGTCGGCTGGCCGCCCTCTTTGGAAAAGGAATGCCGGAACTTGGCCGCAATTTCCCAGACCGCCAACGTGTAGAAACACCCCGTCAGCATTTTGGCAACCTTTTTCCATAACCAGTCGGGTCCGAAAATGCTATCCACAATGACTTTCCATACTTGTTTTCCACACCGGTGGGGTGTCAAAAACTTTCCGGTGCCAGTTTTTTCCCACGACGCCGGCCAGTGGGGTCCACCCCTGAGAGCATACTCACGCTAGGACCTTTTTACCTATATATTGACGGAAATCTGGCCAGATACATCCAGGTCCGGCTGTAATTACAGTCACATACATTCAGAAGAGTGGTCGTGTGAGTACGCCCTAAATGTATCTGGACTGTTTCTGATCCCGATACATTCTGAATGTTGGATAAGACCGAATGTATCTGGTCGGCAATGCAGGCCACATACATGTAGAATGTTGTCGGGAGGCCCTATCCCAGCCTTATCAGGGCTGCATCAAGACCACTCTACCTCCCTGCCTCTGTGGCTCAGATGACCCTATTCCCTCCTTTCCCGAACTATAACCGTAAATATCTCTAAAGATAACCATAAATACCTTCGTAACTAAACTGGAAATGACAAAAAACAGAGAGTCAGCGTAGCGCTCCGGATTTGGCCATTCTGCGACTGGACTAAAATTCCCAACGCCTGTACCTAAGCTGGGTAATGGTCCCATAACTGGGTTGAGATGTGGAGGAATGCCGGGTGTCCTCCTTTTTGTCTGGTAATTAATAAGCTAAATTCCTGATTTAAAAGTTAAACAGAGAAACATAAAGAAAATGTTTCCCCCCCCCCCAAAAAAGGGAAAAAAAAAAAAAAAGAAAAAAGAAAAGAAAACGTTGTTCCTGTGCGATAGAGAAAACAAAAACGTTGAAGCTGGGTGACAAGGGAAAAGACGCTGTGTCTATACTCGCTGGGCATACTCACACTAGGGCCTTCTTACTTAACTATGAATGTAATTGCGGTCAAATGTATCCGGGTGCGGCCGTAAATTCGATCAGATACATTTAACATATAACTAGTGTGAGTACCCCCTCGTTCTATGGGCAGAGATCCTCCCTACCCGTATTAAATAGGGACGACTACTGTACGCAAGAAAAGAAACGTTGTTCTTGTGCGACAAGAAAACGTTATTCCTGTGCGACATCAATGCAAAAGTCGTACTTGAGCGACAGGAAAACGTTATTCCTGTGCGACAAGAGAATGTGATTGAAAAAAAAAAAAAAAAAAAGCCCTTCCCGTGCGGCCAGACAAACCCGTTTCGTCCTGTGCGGCAAGAAAAAGGCGTTCTATATCTGTGCGGCACCAAAAAGGCGTTCTATATCTGTGCGGCAAGCAAAAAACACATACTAATTTCTGTGCGACAATAACGGAGGAGGCATTACTCCGCCGGCTCGACGACATAAATTCTTTCCCCGAGCAGAGAGAGATCTTGCTTCCCCGCGATTACTGTGCGGCAGCAACCAAAARAAAAAAAAAAAAAAAAAAAAAAAAAAGACACGTTCAGTCGTGTGCGACAAGCGACCCCCTTCCCGCCCCCCCCACCCCGAAAAAAACGCACGATATATTCGTGTGCGACATCGACGGAAACGTTGTTCCTGTGCGACGTCAGCGCAAGCCGAAGTACTCTCTGTGCGCCGTGATCTGGTTCCCTCGAACGTCCACCACGACGACAATCCGATTGCCGTACTTGAGCCCATTTGCAAAATTTCCAGACGTCCTGATCTCAAACATTGCGGTCCCCTTCACTACCTTCTCCGTTTCGTGCCCCTCGCCATCGCCGCCGCCATCGCCCTTGTCATCATCGCCGCCGGCATTTGACGACGGTGTCGACCTTGAAGCGCTTTTACTCGTCGTCTTCGTCGTATTAGCTTTGGAATTATCTGTGACCGTTGAAAGCAGCGCCAGAGAAAAGCTTCTGTTCGCGATCTCCATCTTCAGATCCGAGAACGTTCTGTCGGCAAGGTCGAAGAACGTCTTCATGGCTTCTTTCCCCTTGTTGGGCTTTCCCAGGAAGCCCTCCACGGGCACCCATAACTCCACGTCATCGGTCATCATGTCCAGGTACTCCTTCCAGTCCTTCTTCTCCAATCCTTTCTTGAAAGCCATCATGGCCTTCGATGCCACGTCACGCGGCGCCCATTCTTCCCTCATAGGTATTATGAGCGGAGTCTGCCCCACGGGCGGAACCTTGGGCCATCCATCGCCGGGGGCAGGGGATCCCGGCGTTGGCCACCCCGCCGTTCCAGTGGATGACGATGAGTCAGCAGCAGCACACGAGGTAATTAGTGTTGACCTTGACCTCTTGATTGGAATTGGAGTACTCAAGGAGAGACTTGATTGAACAGGCGCCTCGTCGTCGCCTCCCCCGTGCTGCTTCTTCTCAAGATAGCCGCTGCGCCGAGCGCGCGCTCGGCGGCCAGCAGGGAAGTGCCGAGGCGAAGTAAGCCGACAGCTGTTTCGGCTTTGGCGCTCAAACCCGAGGGAAGAAAGATGATTGGCTCTGGACTCGAACTCACGCTCTGGCGATCGCTGAGCGAAGGACTCCGACGAAGCACTGCGCCTCCCTTCGACTGAAAGCGCGTGCGCCAATGTGTGCAATCTTGGGTGTTGTGCGTGTTGGCCTGTCGTTAGGAGAGAGAAGTGTGTGGAGGTGGTGGACTGATCCAGTAGAATGGATCTCATGCATACCGAAGCCTGGGCCATGGTGAATCGCAGATACTCCCTCCTGGTATCTCCCTCCTCTCTGGCTTCCTCTCCTCCCCTCTGTTCTCCTCTCCGCTCCTCTCCTCTCCCTCTTGTAAATTGTTCTTTTTTTCAGTTTCAACCCCTTAGCGGATCTTGTTTCCCCCCTCCAGTCCTCCCTTTGCTCTCCTCTCCTGTCGTTAACTTCTTTGGCCCCTCCAGCTCTCTCTCTCTCTCTCTCTCTCTCTCTCTCTCTCTCTCTCTCTCTCTCTCACACACACACACACACAGAGCACAAAGCACAACGTGCTGACTGACCGACGTTGGTCGCTATGTAGCCAGGCAGAGGTTCTTCGCTGCTATCGGCGAAGAGCGAACGGCCCGCCCTACTCTCTCTCTGGACAGTCTGCTGGACGAAACTGCCCCGTCTCCTCCGCTCTTCGCTTCCCCTCGTCTCTTCAGCTATCCTGTCCGCTCCTTCCTGCTCCCTCTCTCTCCCATCTTCTCTCCTCGCTCCCCCGCCCTCTTGACGATGCCTCTCTTTATTTGTCCGGAGCGTCTTTGAGGTCCCTTTGGCTACCCAAATGTCCTCCCCCTCCCGTCTCTCTCTCTCTCTCTCTCTCTCTCTCTCTCTCTCTCTCTCTCTCTCTCTCTCTCTCTCTCTCTCTCTATCTCTCTCTCTCTCTCTCTCTCTTCCCCCCCGTGAGTAGGATTTTCAGAGATCTCCCTGCTCGCTTATATAAAGGTCCGTCGTCAAAGAAAAGGACTTCATGCAGCTGTAGCAGGCAAATGTGTCTTCCAGCGCTCGAGTGGCGAATGGCAGAAGGGGCAGGAATTCAATGTACACTCGAGAAAGAAAGACGGGGGAAAAAAAAAAAAAAGGAGTGAAAGAAGAATTGGTACGCCCGCTTTTCTTCTTTTTCCCCCCCCCCCAGACATCGGCGTTGGACCTGATATAGGGGCTAATAAGAGCTGGCGGGCCCCTCTTTCTTCCCCCAGAGATGGATGGGGGAAGTTGACTGTGACCGCAGTAAATCAAGGGAGATGGTGGTGTTTTTTTTTTTTTTTTTACAAAGAAAAATCAGCTCATTTGATTATCACAAAGGGGAGACCGGGAAAACCTACACAAACAACCCGGAGTAAAAATCTGGGACCATTACAAAGCTTAGGGCCAGATCCCACTGGCAAGGACGATTGGAATAAGGGTCTGAAACTGGACGTGTTCAACGGAGAGATGCAGAAAAGCAGATCAATCACAGTTTTCTGCACCTCGCCACCAAGACGTCCAGATTCAGACACTCATTCCAATCCTCTTTCCGAGTGGGATCTGGCCCTTAGGTGCAGGCGATGGGGTGTGTCCAGGCAAACAGAGATGGCCAATACTGGGCCGCTGTCCTGACATTCCGCATCCCTGGGAAAGAAAAAAACCAACAATGCCTACAAAGCCTCACAATTCAAAAAAGGAGATGGTTTTCTTCTTCCATGTTCTCAATCTTTCATTTTTTTTTTTTTTTTTTTTTTTTTATCTTTCATATTCTGCTAAGGATGCCATCCTCATCTTCTGCCACTGAAAAAACAACAACAACAACAACAACAACAACAACAACGCCCCTTCCATTCTGGGATGAAGCAGTCCGCGCTCACCACTGCTGTCAGGAACAAAACACTGGGCCTAGCTGCACTACTCTCGACATGCACAAAGGACAAAAATCATGGCGGTATATCTTTCCATATTCAAGGGGAAGATTCACTCTCGTTTTGCACATGTCGACTACTCTGGACATGCACAAAAGACAAAAATCATGGCCGTGTATCTTTCCATGTTCAATGGGAAAATTCATTCTCGTTTTCCAGAGTAGTGGAGCGAGGCCCATTTACGACGTACACGCTTCTGGGAGTCCCCATTACGGCTGAAAGAACCATGGGCCTCGCTGCACTACTCTCGACATGCACAAAAGATAAAAATCATTACCTACGATGTATCCTCCCATATTCTAGCGGAAGATTCACTCTGATTTTGCACATTTCGAGAGTAGTGCAGCGAGGCCCATAGCCACTGCTTCCCAAACCTCTGGGCAGACAGATTCCCTACGTAACATGAATTGTTTTGGAAACGGAAGGAACCTCTGGGCATCGCCACACCACTCTCGAAATGTGCAAAATGAGAAAGAACTTCCTGCTAGAACATGGCCAGGTGCACCCGCCACATTTTTGTCTTTTTCACATTTCGAGAGTGGTGTGGCGAGGCGTTAACTGGTGGCCAAAAGGAGGAGGAGATATACAGGAGGCGGCCTAGGAAGATTCTTTTATTTTTTTATTTTTTTTCAAGGAGAGGCCGAGGAAGATTCTAGGAGAGGCACTAGAAAGATTCTAAGAGAGACTGTCATCTCATCATTCTCATCCTCATCCTCTCCTGACACAGCAGTAAATGGAGGAAGATGTTTCACGAGTTGGCTAGACTACCATCTTCCCCCGAAGACAACGCACCCGGATTCTGAATGTGTACATAGAGGCTATACGATCATGATTAGGGTGCGGTGTGTATTTGGGGGACGACGGCGATGCTCTCAATCATGAACGAAGTCGTTTTTTCAGTCAGATACAGTCAGAATCAATATAGATCCTTGCTCGACCACTCACCAAATCTGCAAAATGGGAATGAATCTTCCCCTTAAAGATGTGAACGATACACGCCCATAAGGGTTTTTCCCTTGTGTGCATTTGGTTATTGGAGCCCCCTGTAAGATAGGTAGGAGTGTATGCTCTTATCATCACTCCTAGCTGTTGACGCAAGTGGATTGTTAAATAAATAAACAAATAAATATAAATAAATAAATAAATAGATGAATAAGAAAATAAATAGATGAATAAATAAATAAATAAATAAATAAATAATGGTTAGTGGTGGAGAGGACTCCCATATTTTCACGTGAGAAGACAGGGACTTCCCCTAAGGCTTGGCCCCCACTGCTTTCTGCCAAGATTTTCGAGACTCCATTGTTCGTTTCTACTCTGCCTGCCTCCGTTTTTTTTCAGCATACCAAGGGATCCCTATGCCTCCTTTCGGCTGGGGATGGTTGAATCTAGAGGGTAGTTTTTTTTGGCTGCCTTTTCATTCAGCCAAAACTCGCCTCTAGATTCAGCCATCTGGTGCGGAAAGGAGGCACAGGGATTGGAAAGTGTGCTGAAAAAGAGGAGGCTGGCTTGCGTGAAACGGCAAGTTTTCGTAATCTGGTGACCTATAGCCTCCGGAGGCGCTGGAGGTCGCGTCCCTTTCCTCTCGTGGTCGGCCGCTATTCTGGGGTGGTGGATGTTTTCCAGCCACCAAGCACCGCGAAGCAGTGGGGTACTACCCTTAGGGTTTCCACAGTCCTACCCTCAGGGTTTTCACACTTTGTGTCCACATTTCTCCACACCAACCTAAGGGCTCTTTCAACACTCCTCGGGGATGCAAGTTCCCAGTCTCTTTACTTTCAAGTTCAGTAAAGTTTACAATCTCTCCCAAATAAATAACAAAAATAAAATAAAATAAAATATACAATTCTAAGTCCCTAGCATTGCACAGAGCAACTGTCCTACGACTGTTTTCAGTTGGCCTTTCTACTCCCTGGTCACCATCAGCAGGTACTGACAGTTACCGGTCCGTTTCGTTAGGTGAACCATTCGCTTCAGGCCCAGATGACTTTCCTTGTCTACACACCTCCGCTCGACTTCTTCGCTTCCATGGATTCTCGAGATCTACGATACACCTTTTTTGCCAGTCTTCGTTCAGCAAGGGTTCAAGTCATTCGGTTGGAGATCGGATCGGGACCAAGGACTGCGGAACTTACCCAGGGTGCATCTGGATGTCACTGGCCCTGATGGCGCTGCTCCCACTACCTGCGACGTTACAAGTTACCGGCAGTGCGGCAGTCGAGGCAGGTTGCTGGACTTGCTGGATCTGCTGGACTACCCTTGAACCTCCCTCGGTTGTGCGTCCGCCAGCAGCACTCAGTGCGTACGCAAATCTGCAGGCACACAGTCAATATTTTCAGCAAGTCTGAGGAGAGTCATTTTCTCCTTCGTATGCAAATCTGCAGGCACGCATCAATATTTTCGGCCAGTCTGAGGAGAGTCATTTTCTCCTTCGCCAATTTTGGTCAAGGGCTGTCATCCTCAGCCAGCCTTCGGGTCCTTGGTCCTTCTCAGCAAGTCGTCCTACTGTCAGTTCGTGTCATCACATCGTCGGTGTTAGTCTTCGGTCAGAGGTCAGTCCTGTAAGTTCCTCAGCAATGAACGCGTTAGTCTCACGTCCTAGCGACAGACCGGCAAGCACCCCTCTCTTCGTTGTTCCCTACTCCTCCACTCGCTCCTTGTCCATCTCAGAATGCTCCTGTTTAGACTCTCACCCTCATTTCCAACCTGCCCAAGACAACCCACCCATCTACGATCTCTTCCTGAACTCCTTCCCCACCAATCTCGCAGCTAAAAATGACTCAGTCATTTTGGATGAAAGACTGATAACCGAATTCACTTCATTCATAACCCCACTTGTCAACTATACTGCACCTCCCCCCATCCACGCCGATGACTGCCTTCATCGCATCTTCGTCCTAGATCCTTCTACCGCCTCAGTCCTCCCTCTTCACCTCTTTTCTTTTCCCCTGTTGATACCAAATTCCTTCATGACACTGCAAACCATTCTCGTTCAGGAAAGGTTTGACTCTTCCCTTGCAGTCAATGATCTCCTGGAATTTGTTGAGGATGCCGCCTTTTTTACCTTCTAGAACGACGAGCGATCCTTTTTCTTTCTGAATAGAAAGAAAGCAGTCAAACTCCTCTCCTACACCTTTTATTCTAACAAGTGGACCTGCCGAAGCGAGGAGAGGGACGAAGAGGGAGGCGGGGCCGATGTTGTTACACTGCCGTTTTTTTTTTTAGTATTATTTTTTTTTTGTCGTCATATTCGCTATACACACAAATCTCTCTCTCTCTCTCTCTCTCTCTCTCTCTCTCTCTCTCTCTCTCTCTCTCTCTCTCTCTCTCTCTCTCTCTCTCTCTCTCTCTCTC